AAAAACACTGTTTCGGCTGATTTGATGTGAGAGAAAAATATTATTTCAGCTGAAAAAACAAGCTGAAAAAAACGGATTATAAGATAAACGAATAGGGCCTTACCATCTATGATCTAATGTATCTGAGTTCACATGAACGTCGACCTGACATCGTCGCCGGCGGCTAGCTACAGAAGTTTCTCCAGGCGGCGCGACGTCACGGCATGCACCAAATTGAACCTTAACAAGTCTATGGATGGTAGTTTATTTATTACAATAAGATGGCATTAGTAGTAGGGTCTTGTTTATATTGTAAATTTTTGCAACATGGACACTGTAGCATGTTTCGTTTATATTTGACAAACTTTGTCCGATCATGGACTAACTAGGCTCAAAAGATCCATCTCGTGATTTACAACCAAACTGTGTAATTAGTTATTTTTTTTACCTACATTTAATGCTCTATGCATACGTCTAAAAATTGATGTGACGGAGAGATAGTGAAAAAACTTGGAATTTGGAGGTGATCTAAACAAGCCTAGCTAATGTGGGTGATTAGGGAGGGTGCCTGGCTGCCTGCCTATTATTACACCCCTCGAGGCATCATCAATCATTATCCTCGGCCAGGCAGTGGCTGATCGTGGGTGATGTAGGTGGGATCGTGTGCCACCTGGAGGGAAAGATTCCTCTTTCTTCTACCCTTAATTTCAGCAATTGCCAGCACTAGCTAGTGCAGTGCTACACGCACCCGGTCGTCACCACAGTAAATATTAGGGCTACACATACTACTGCAAATCTAGGCGCGCCTGCCCAAGCTAGTTTCTACTATTCTCCAATAGTGGCACCCAACATATCCGTTACCTAGCTATATGAAATGCCATTTTGTATACAAGGTATGTAGTGCAAGATCATATATAATTATTAATTGCACATAGAATTTAAATTTTTGTCTCTAAGCTAAATTGTGCTTGTTATAATAAGTGTAGTTTGGATATGTTCAAACTGATAGACCACTCATTCTTTGTGTGAGTTTTTTTTTATTGTGAGAATGGAACATGATGTGTTATTTGATCTAATGATGGTCCTGCGCTTGCATAAATAAAACTTCATCTCAAAGGAGATGTCATTTATTAAAAAGATTGTGCACATACTGTGTATATTTTCAAACTATTGGAATCATTGTAGTTTCTAAAAGTCATTTGTGTGCTAACATGTAGCTATACAGTTCATGATTAACCTGCATAAAACCAAAATTACTAACATGTAGCTATACAATTCATGCTACTACATTCCATATGACATAACAAAACACTTTTGCAATCCTTTTAGAGTTTTATACATCTGTGCATTTTCTAGAGGTGTTCTCTCGATACACTAAATTTATACCACTGGATATAGTGACGTAAGAAATCATGTACAAACAAGTTAAAGATATAGTGATATCTAGGTTCTACTCAAGCATTTTGATTCAACAGGTTGGAGGATATGCTCAAACTGGAGGCGGTAGTCAAAGTTTTGACTTAATTATATTAAAGCATTAAAAAAGGAATCTCACACCCGAAAAAACGCGTATACAGATGGAGAAATTGATGACCGTGTCTTTGCATATTTACATAGGGGGGAGAGTCAACTATTTTAGTATTTTTGTCGTATTGTACGATGCATGCAATATTTATTAATAACCAATGTGGAAAACAACGGGTCTCGCATGTACATTTTTGCTATTGAGTACAATGAAATAAATAATAGTAATAATAAATAAATTAATTCAATGCGTATTTTTTGTAGTTATATATACATAATATGTGAATTTCTATAAAAGAAGAAAGAGAACAAACTTAGAGGCATGCATGTCTTCTCTCACTACATTTTATGGTTTGGAAAAAGTGACGTAACAGATCATGTACACACAAGTTAAAAAGATATAGTGATATCTAGGTGTGCTACTCAATTCAACATGGTACAAATATGATAAAACTAGAGGTGACCCTCAAAATTTTGATAAAAAATAACATTCATGCATTGAAAAAACATATAGTGGGCAAAGAATGTGGATTAAATGGAGAAATGATGAGCTATCTTTGTATATTGATATATTTAGAAGTGTTAGCTATTTTACTATTCCTTTAGTACTTCATGATACATGTAATATCTTTTAATTATCAACATGGAAAACAAAGGGACTCTACATGTATCTTTCTACTATTGGGTATGGTGTAATAACAAATCATACATGTATCCTTGTAGTTGTACATATCATATGTGCATAAGGAGAAATAGTTAAGACTTAGAGTCACTATCTTCTTGGTTCTCGCACTAAATTTTATGTCATTGGATACAATGGTGTAACCAGTAATGTACTAAGTTAAATATAGAGTGATATATAGGTTTCAATTTAACACATTGGGCAAACATATGGTTGGAGTTAGAGGTGGGATTAAAAGTACAAATATGAAATTCATTATTTGAGAAAAGATGCAATGAACCTAAAAGCGTTGAGATAGATATAGATAATTGATGATTAAATATAGTGATATCTATGTGTCAATCAATTTTTTGGTTCAACATGTCAAACCAAGATACCCCGCAATTAAGTTAGCACCCAAAGTACGTCCCCAATACATGCATTGACCAAATATATGGCAAACCTAAAATCACGAATATAGCTAGAGAAAATTAATAGCTTAAAGATACAGAGATATCTATGATTTATTATTGAACATTTCAATTCAAAATCTTGGCAAAGATACGCCGAATCCCCAATACATGCGTGGACAAAAATATATGGCGAACCTAAAATCCCGAATAGAGCTAGAGAAAATTGATAGCTTAAAGGTACGGTGATATCTGCAAGTAGTTGAGCATTTCAAGTCAACGCACTCGGCAAAAATATTCTAGATATATTAAAGCTATGATGCAAGATACTATATATATATATATATATATATATATATATATATATATATATATATAATAACATGTGGGTATATACAAAAGATGCGATGAACCTACAAATAAATGCCGATATATATAGAGAAAAATGATTTTTACAAGGCACAACTTTTGCCTATTCTTTGTAATATGGTGCGATTATCAAGTGACCATAGCGGTGGCCCAATGCACCTCAAGCCCCCAACCGCCTGTTCTAAAAATTTATTCCCATGTGAAATGAAATGGCTAACACTAACTTAAGCGGGGAATGATATACTCCCTCCCTAATAAAAAATAAAGTCGTTTTGGATAGCGATACGGTCTCCAAAGTATTACTTTGACTCCTTGTTTTTATAAAAAATATTTATTAAAAAGTGATATATGTATATTTTTATGAAAGTATGTTTCAAGACAAATCTATGTATATGGCTTTCACATTTCTAAAGTCAACAACTTAAAAGTTATTCATGATTTATATTTCCAATATTTGACCCAAGCCTTATCCAAAACGACTTTATTTTTTAGTATGGAGGGAGTAATTGTGGTGGTTAACTTAATTAATCCTCCGGATTTTTATGCCTAATCATTAAAAAAGGCCACATGATCATTTATTACCTGGAAAGTGAGGGATTAACCACAACATGCCAATGCATGGCCATTTTTATACTCCCCTGCTCCACTTGGGCACGCATCTAACCACATGACTCATGGGCCCGGAGGATGCCTTGGGCCCACAAGCAGTGGCGCCTTCCTGCAGGTCGCTTTGGTGGGGTTGATTGGGGTGTGTGGAGATTGAGGGTCCGCGTTAATCGCCGTGCACGTTCTGCACCTCTTTCGCTCTCCGGGAGGGCCCACATTACTGCTGTTATAATGTGGTCTTGTCTGCCTCATCACACTCCTACTGCCTTTATTTCTCCCTCCATTTTGTTTTCTTTCTACTCTAACTAATTTTGTTTTGTATATATAATTGTTAAAGTTTTATTTGTTATTTATCTCATCTACACGTGGACTTTCATCTACAAAATTAACCTTGGGTCAAGGTAATTTTTTTGTGCCCCTTGTTGCTCTAATCACCTTGGATTATATGCCACCACGGAGAGCAACTAGTTACCATGGCATAAGATAACACATCCAAAATTTACTGCTTTTCAAGCCCAGGTAATAATCTTATGCATAACAAATGACTAGATATTATGTAGGAAAATAACTAAGATGATCACAGAATCCAACATATTCCTCCATGGGGATTGATGTAGGTAGGGGAGTTTTGTAGAGGGGTATTTGTGCTTCTCTCCCTTTTATTACAAGCCTCCCTCCGTCTCTCTCACTCCTTTCTCACTCATCCCACAGTTTCCAGCACTCCCTCCCTTTCTCTCCTGCTTCACAAGCTTCTCTCTCTACCATTTTTTGCCCCACACTCCTCACCCGCTCCCCTCTGTCCTTTCGGTTTTACTAACAAGTTGGTATTAGGCAGGGAGGTAAAGCCCCTCTGACAGCGCAGCATCTTGTTTGTTTTATCTCCCGCATCATCCCCCTCATCATCTTCTGCACACCTCCATCTCTCTCTCTCTCTCTCTCTCTCTCTCTCTCTCTCTCCTGCAGCAGTACTCAACATTTCTCAACTTTCATCTTCTCTCTCCTTCACCCTACATACCCTCCATCTTCTTCCTTACCTTCATCACAGATATCATATTCTCCTCATCTTTCTCTCTCCTCCATCCTCCCTATTATTTATTGAAGGCTGCTTATGGATGGTATCTTAATTCTTTTCTCTCTCTTCTTCCTCCTCGTGAAAGAGTACATTTTTTTTTGCCAGCGTTTGCTGTAGTACTACTAGTGCTTCCTCCCCCTTTCTCCTTCTCGGGCTATTTCCTCTTCTCCCTTTCTTTCCGTTTTTCTCCTCTCCGGCCTCCTTCCCTTTTCCACTCTTATATCTCTGAGGTCCGTCTCTCCTCTTTCCAGTTGTCCTTGCTTCCCATCTTTTTCACCTGCCCCTCATGTACTGATCGTCTCATCACCTCCATTCCCCAGTGGTAACACCGGGCGACGACGTGCACGAGTGCGCGTGCACGGGAGCAGGAGCTGTTAGCATGCAGCAGCAGCACGGGGGAGGAGGAGGAGGCGGCGGAGCAAGCGGTGGAGGCCCAGCGCAGCAGTTCGGCGCACATCAGGTGGAGATGCCGCCGCCATTCTCGCCGGCCGCTGGCGCCGGGAAGCGGATCTCGCTGGCGGAGGCGCCGTCGCCCATCAGCAGCCGGCCGCCGGCGTCGCCGGCGCCGGCGCAGCAGTACGACGAGCTCGGTGCGTCCGGCTCCGGCGCCGTGGGCTTCGACGCCGAGGGCCTGGCCGCCGCAGCAGCCGGCGAGGAGGGCGCCAGCGGCGGCTCCGCGGGCAACCGGTGGCCGCGGCAGGAGACGCTGGAGCTGCTCAAGATCCGGTCGGACATGGACGCCGCCTTCCGGGACGCCACCCTCAAGGGCCCCCTCTGGGAGCAGGTCTCCAGGTACACGTAACGAGCTAGCTGAATTGCCGCATGAATCACTCGCCATGCCGTCGTCCCTGCGCGCCGCCTGCCACGGAATTCTCGTCGGCGAAATGCTGCATGAAATCTCGGCCGCCTCCGGGACCGGCCCCTGGCGCCGATTTGGCTAGCAAGCAGGCCCAGTTAATTAATTACTTACCCGGCTAAAGAACACTTCTTTTTTACTTTTTCCTTAACCATCCTTCAGGAGAACAGTGACTTTTCCATTTTAAAATAGCTCGATATCGCTCTCCTTCCCCACTTTTCCAGAAAAAAAATCCGCTCTGGTGTTTTACCAATCTCTTCGTCTCTCCGATAGGTAGCAGTAGACACGAGCTGCAATATCTTCAGATCCAAAGGCATCAATCCCAAACTTTATCTCTTTGGCCTCTGAATTTCTCTCAAAAAGATGGGAATTTTTATTCGCAGTTTCTTCCTCCTCTGTGCTTTGCATTCTTCTTGGGATTTACCACTGCTAGTGCTGCATGGATGTATGTGTGCATATGCCTTTCTTTATCTTTTCCATGGGTGCCCAAATCGAGTAAAATTCTACTACATGCATGCAACTTTCGTGTGAGGGCTACAGTTGTGAAATTTGTGGTGGTTGGTGGCGGCGACACGCCATTGATACGGCAATTAAGCTTCTTGTTTTTGTTGCTAACTAAAATGTTGATCGATGCGGTGGTTGGCAGGAAACTGGCTGAGAAGGGGTACAACCGGAGCGCCAAGAAGTGCAAGGAGAAGTTCGAGAACGTGCACAAGTACTACAAGCGCACCAAGGAGAGCCGCGCCGGCCGGAACGACGGCAAGACGTACCGATTCTTCACGCAGCTGGAGGCCCTGCACGGCACCGGGACGGCTCCCGCGTCGGTGGCGTCGCAGGTGCACCCGGCGATCTCCGGCGGGGTGTCCGGCGCAGCGGGGCCGTCGGCCGTGCGCGTGCCTGCCGAGCCGCAGCCTGCGGTGTCGGCCGCCGGCGTGGGGATGCCGATGACGACGACGGTGGGCTACCCGAGCTTCTCGACGTCCAACACGGAGGACTACACGAACGAGGACGACTCCGACGACGAGGGCACCGAGGAGCTGGTGGGCGGCGGCGCGGACGAGCGCGGGAAGAGGAAGAGGGTGTCGGAGGGCGGCGCCTCGGCCGCCGGCGGAGGCAGCGGGAAGATGATGAGGTTCTTCGAGGGCCTGATGAAGCAGGTGATGGAGCGGCAGGAGGCTATGCAGCAGAGGTTCTTGGAGGCCATCGAGAAGCGCGAGCAGGACCGCATGATCCGCGAGGAGGCGTGGCGGCGGCAGGAGATGACTCGCCTCGCGCGCGAGCAGGAGATCCTGGCGCAGGAGCGCGCCATGGCCGCCTCCCGCGACGCTGCCGTCCTCTCCTTCATACAGAAGATCACCGGGCAGACCATCCCGATGCCGTCCATCGCCGCGCCCACCATCAACGCCATGCCACCGCCGCCGTCGCATCCGAAGCCGCCGCCGCCTCAGCCGCACCCCACACCCATTGCCTCCGCCTCGCCAGCTCCGCCGCCACCGCAACCACCAGCCTCGCACACTCCGCCCCCGCAGCAACAACAGCAGCCCTCGCCGCAGCAGCAGAAGCCGCCATTGCCATCTTCGACGACACAAGCGCCAGCGCCTCAACAGCAAAGCACGGACATTGTCATGACGCCGGCCGAGACGACGCCGCGCGCCGACACCCCAGTGCACGAGGGGTCCAGTGGCGGCGCGACGTCGTCCCGGTGGCCCAAGGCGGAGGTTCACGCGCTGATACAACTGCGGAGCAACCTTGACACGCGGTACCAGGAGGCCGGGCCCAAGGGGCCCCTCTGGGAGGAGATCTCCGCCGGCATGCGGCGGATGGGCTACAACCGGAACGCGAAGCGGTGCAAGGAGAAGTGGGAGAACATCAACAAGTACTTCAAGAAGGTGAAGGAGACCAACAAGAAGCGCCCCGAGGACTCCAAGACGTGCCCCTACTTCCACCAGCTCGACGCGCTCTACCGCAACAAGGCGGCGCTCAGCTCCTCCTCCGGCGCCGGAGCCGCGGTGCACGCCAACGCATCGTCGGCACCGCCGCAGGAGACGGTCACGGTCGTCACGGCCGCGGCGCCCATCTCACAGACGCCGCCGCCGCCTCCGACACAGCCTTCCCAGTCCCACCACGCGGCCAAGAATGGCGGCACCGCCAGCAACGCCGCTGGCACCGGCACCGGCAACGGGAACGGCGGAGGAGCGTCAGAGCACGGCTCCAGGGGCATGCAAACGCAGACAAGCAACGGCAGCGTTGCTGCCAGCAGGTTCCTCGGCGAAGGCTGCGGCGCGGCCTCGGCGGCGAAGAAGGTAAGCGAGTCATCAGTCTCACATACACACATGCATGTGCGCTCTCACTGTGGCCATAGCTAAACTGCACCGTACATGTGGTACCTGCTGTTCGTTTTGGTGATCCAATGCTGATTGCATAACGCTGCACATTTAAAGCCAGAGGACATCATGGAGGAGATGATGGAGCAGAGGCAGCCGCAGCAGCAGACGCAGGCGGTGGTCAGCGGCTACAACAGAATCGACGGCGCGGACAGCGACAGCATGGACGAGGACGACGACGATGACGACTACGACGATGACGACGACGACGAAGATGTCGACGGCAACAAAATGCAGTACAAGATCCAGTTCCAGCACCAGCAGCAGCAGCATCCGAACGCCGGCGCTGGCGGTGGCAACCAGCCCGGCACCGCCGCTCCCAGCACGGCTGCGGCCCCGACAACAACAGCCGGATCTTTCTTGGGCATGGTCCAGTGATCGATCCATCCGCGCGCACCCAGACAATATCCCCCCCCCCCGGTGACTCTCATCCTCCTCTTCTCCCCATCCATGGCTCTTTTTTTTTCTCTATCTCGCCTGTGGCATTTGTATATATCTACCTACCTGTCGCCTCCATGCTCGTCCATATCTCTACACCTCAAAACCTAAAATCACAAGAACTATCCCCCTCCTCCATGCTCAGGCAATTCTCCATTCCTCATGCACGTAGCAACACCTCGATCCATGTCGTGTCGTCGTCGCTGCTGCCCACCCTCCTATTTCTTGATTCGTTGCTGTGTTAATTACAGTGCAGGTCGCCTCTTAGGTGTTACAGTACAAAAAAAATATTGGTGGTGATGTGGTTATTTATTGATTTGTTGTGGTAATTAATAAGAACCCTCAAGCTTGGGGTGTTCACGGAGAGAGGTTGAATTGATGCGGTGAAAACGGCACGTGAAGGGTAATAAGAGATCGATCGCGCGGTTAAAGAGAACAAGGAGACAAGGTGACAAAAAAGGGCAGATGACGCAGTGGGTGTTTGCACTGTTACTCCTGTAATTTTTGTGCATGCGGCTACTACTACTCTATACAGTGGGGTAAGTTTGTTGCAAAAGGGAGCAGTGAAAAAAAAATGGAAAAGAGAGCTTGCTCGTCATGTGGCATGAAGAATAGCCAGTTTGATGCATGCGGAAATTTTTTTCTTTATCCTTGCTTTTTTCCCTTTTCATTTTTCACCATTTCTTTTATGTTCTGCAACAAGTAAACTGTCCATTAAGTAATTACCTAAGTTTTTCTTTCTTTCTCAAACTATTGTTACCGAAATTTACAGTGTATACTTGAGAAATATTAAATGTTAAAATTCTTGCTATTATATCGTAATTGCTTTCAAGTGGGATTTTATATGTCAACTGCGTGCCTTTCATTAAAATGCATGAAGTCCATTGCGTATGATAAAATTCCACACATTCTGTTCTGATTATACTCTACTAGTAGGATCCAATCTGTCATTTTTTTAATTTTTGGGTTTAAATCCAGCAAGGGATCTAATATTGAATATTAATACTAACATGCCAAGATTGGTATACCTTTGAGAGATTGCCTTCACATGCATGCCAGATTACTATACCATGAGGGAGGTGAAGTCACACATTTTTTAACCAAAAGGAATCAAATAAATAATGGGGCATACTGCAACTGAAAGCTCATGCATATAGACATGAAAAAAATAGATGATACTCAACAAAATGTTAGGCAAGTTACAAATAGGGAAAACATACCAAATTATTAAAGTTAATTCTAGGATATGAAGTCACCATATTATCTAGTCTAGCAAATATAACTAGGATATTTACACAATTTCTTTGTTGAAAGAAGGATGAGTCCTATCTAAAATGTGGATATTTCCTTGTACTTGTAAGATTTTATTCATTTACAGCAAAATTCTTATCAAATTCTTGCATTCCGCCGCATGGTCCCAGAATGATATGTGCAGGTGAAGTCACCTTTTTTTGAACCATGAGTCGAAAAATATCAAGCAATCTAGAAATTGGAGAGTCACAATGAGTTGAAAAAATGTAGTTATTACAACATGGAGCACTTGTATTTTTTTAATTTTTTTTTTGTAAATTAGCTTGTTTACACAATTTTCTTTATGAAACAAAGGATGAGACCGATTTGGAATGCAGAACTTTCCTCTGTGTTGTAGGAATTAATTTTTTTTGTGATGATGATACTCCTACAAAATTGATGCGCGTTATGTACAATTGCCCTTGCATCACATATATGCTTCATTGTGTGGGAGGTGTTTACACAACATATGTGCTCAAGTTTGATCCTTACTATAGTTGACAATAAAAGGCAGGATGGTTTACCCAAAAAAACAAAATAGTTTCGTAAATTTGGGGGTTCACAATGTAGTTAACTACCACGTTTTGGAACTGGACCAAGCCTAGAGCTATAGAGAGTATCTCTTACATATGACGGTGGCCAACACACCTATCCCCGCCACGGACAAATCACAATATATAAGCTATATTCCTATTGCCATTATTGGTTGCAATTTATTCATTCCGAACACTACTAAGGCCAACTCATCCAATGCATGGTAGCTAGCTAGCCTTGTTGAAAAATGTCCTAACCTCCTCTCCCTACTTGAAAGCCTAGGTCAATGTAGGATATATGACAACAAACAGAAAAACGTTTGGTTCTTCATGATCGATTAGCTAGCAATAATCACTTGAAACTATTGTTAATTTGATCATCGATTTGCTCCTACACTAGAAGTAGTAGTACACTACTAGTACGTCACGTACTCGAATACTGTATCAACGAACAAAATATTCCTTGTTACCTCGAGATGCCTCGGAGTCGGCGCCAGGGCGTCTGGGCTTGTAGGCAGCGTATGATCCATTTGGCAAGCTTACAAAATTGGTTTGGGGGTCAGTCAGTCAGGGGCAGGGCCGGGCAGCCTTGGCTTGGCTGGGGATCCGTATATAGAAACGGTTGGAGCGTGGGGTGGCGTGTCTGCCATAAAAAGTTAAAAAAAAAGGCCGCTGTGGGATCGACGCCCCCTGTTAAAATTATGTGGAGGCCGTCGCAGTTGCAGTAGTAGGAGTAGTGGCCACTGCTGGCCACCCCAGCCCAGCGGCCAGCCGGAGCCCCCCCACGGACAGACGGGTGCCGTCGCGTGCTGGATCGTCACATCACCCATCGGCTTGGCTTGTTGCTGGAGGGTACTATGTAGCTAGTAGACGAGGAGCAGAGAGGCTTTCTTTCAGACGCAAACCGCAACTCTGCAAGCAACCAAGCATGCATACATACACGTAGGACGTACCTACTACTACTGATCGAGATGCCTGCCTGCCCACCATGTAGACATGTAGTACTGGTCTACTAGAAGTACCCACTGCACACCGCCGCCGCTGCTGCACCTTGTTGCTACAGTGCATCTTGCATCTACGTGAAGCAGCTCATCACAACCCACAGCTTCAGCGGCGTCTCTCTCTCTCTCTCTAACGACACTGTGTCTATATATGTCGTTCTCTCCCTCTCTGGATTCTGGAATCAGGAAGAGTGTTTCCCTCCCTCTCTCTTCTCTGTGCTTGGGCAATTAGCATGAGAAGGGAGGGCACAAGGCTCTACTTTCTTGTAGCCGCAGTCTGAATGATGCACATGGGGTGGTGAGAAAGGTACAGGTAGTAGTAGAAGAGGAGTAGTAGTAAAAAGAAAGAAAGAAGGGAGGCATGGTCCATGGTAGGGATCAGACATGTCCAGAGGACCGGAGCCCACGTTGCATGCACCCTGCTTCCCATTTTGCACCCCCTTTTATCTCTTCTTTTTCATTTTTACCACTTGTATTGACGTTTTGTCCTGGCTAGCTACCTAGCTCTCGTCACAGTAACAGTCCAATCCAGTGACCAGGAGGGGCCAGCAGCTAGCTAGCTAGAGTGCTGGTAGACATGTCCAATTCCCCCCACCCATTTTTATTTCTAAAAGGAAAAAAAAGAGGGAGAGAGATAAAGTGGCAATAATCAACCTATTCGCTGGTTGGTTTCAGTCAGGGCTTATTAGCTAATCAACAGTATTTTTCTCTCATAACAAACTAGCACCAGCCGGGCTTATCAGCCCAGAAATCAACCAACGAACAGGCCGAATGCAACCTCGCTCTTGCATTGATCCGTGCAAAATGTAAATTCGCACATGCCACTCATGATGAGCTATGCAAGCGTAGTAGCTCTTTGTACAACATGCCGTAGGAGTAGTAGTAGTGTAGGAGTACTCCTATAGAAGTACTCCTAGTAGGCTGGCTGCAGCAGCAGCACGCACTCTACACAACAACCGTGTGCCACTCACTCGAACACCGGCAGCTGTTTCTAATGATTAGAAAAGGTCGCTGAGGCAGAGGCCCAGAGCCCAGAAGAGGTGAAGGCTCAAGGCATGCACACTACTACTACACAGACCTCAATGCAAGAACTGAGGAGCTAGGGACGACATTCCGAGCCCAGTAAAAACTTCCCGTTTTCTCACTCGCTTCCATCCGTGACTGACAGAGCGGGAGAGCTGTGCATGGCAACGGCAAACTCTCATGCAGACGCAGGGGCAGGGGGTCGGCAGCCGGCGAAGAAGATTCTCATCCAGCAGCGCAGTGCAGGTGCAGGTGCAGGTACGCGTAGTACGAACGACGGCGTACGCAGGGAGGTGGCAGCAGTAAAAGATGCGTAGGTAAACAGGAGGATGCGGTGAAAGAGCACGGCGTACGAATTCACTGCGCGGCAGCATGCATGTGCGGTGACTCCACGCTTCACGAGGCGCTGTTACTCGCGGTCGCGGGCGGGGCAGCGCTAGTAAAGCCTCGACGAGCCTGGCTACACGAACGCCGCGCCGCTACACGGGGTTTTTATCTTGCTGATCACTCACTCACTCAGCCGCTGTCAAGAGTCAAGCGTACTGTACTGTAATTCACACGGCGTTTGTTTATTTTATTTATTACAAGGCTAGTAATTACTACTATTCAAACAGTGGCTTTAATTTGCGTGGTACAATATAGTGTATATCAAGGTTTACCCATGTAAACTGTTGATACTTAGGGTGCATTTGGTAGGATCCGGATTCTGCTAGAAATGTTTTGGGTCCAAATTTTCTCAAGAAATGTTTTAATTAATAAATCAGAATCACTTTATAAAATGTTTGGTTGGTAGATCAGATTTTGATTCATAAGAATACGCTTTTTTTCTAAAAAAATGTAGAAATAAAAATATGATTCAAAAATTCTGAAGTTTTTATGGACAAAGAACAACTTAAATACAACCCATTTTAATTTATCGCATTGGAAAAGAATTAACTGAAAAATTATATCAAATAGAAGTAGGAAGCGCCGAGAGGAGAGTCTGTGTGAAACCAAGCTATGACAGTTTCGCATATACACGTAGAAACGCTGAAACGTTTCTAATTCGAATCACCGGTTGAAAGTATCGTTTGGTGCCGATTCTTGCGATTCA